AGTCCAGACACAGGACAGGAACAGGCAGTCCAGACACAGGGCACAGACCTTGGCCTGAGATCTGAAGACGGGATAGCTGACGTTACAGGAGTGGCTGTTGGAGCTCAGGGCTGTGCACTCCATCTTCACCTGCGGCTCGTCCTGGAGAGACAGGGGCAGAGGGAGCCTGTTAACCCCTTCCCAGCTCGGCCCTGACGAGCGCTGGCCTCCGGGGGCCCGGGGCCCGGGGCCTCACCTTGCTGCTGAGGCTGGAGAAGTGCAGGTTGCGGGAGAAGAGCAGGCGCAGGCTGGTGTTGTAGGCGTTCTCCTGCCGGTTCTCCAGGACCAGCTCCACGGCCAGCCGGCGCCGCGGACTGCGGACGATGTAGGGCTCCTGTCTGCGGAGAGCAGAAACTGCGCTCACTGTCCACTGTCCACTGTCCACTGTCCAGACCGGTCAGCTAAGGACACAACATCACCACACTGTCCACTGTCCAGAGAGCACCAGTCATCTGAGGACACAACACCACTGTCCATAGAGCACCGGTCAGCTGAGAACACTACACCACTGCACTGTCCACTGTCCAGACCGGTCAGCTAAGGACACAAAATCACCGCACTGTCCACTGTCCAGAGAGCACCAGTCATCTGAGGACACAACACCACTGTCCAGAGAGCACCGGTCAGCTGAGAACACTACACCACTGCACTGTCCACTGTCCACTGTCCACTGTCCAGGCCGGTCAGCTAAGGACACAACATCACCGCACTGTCCACTGTCCAGAGAGCACCGGTCATCTGAGGACACAACACCACTGTCTATAGAGCACTGGTCAGTTGAGAACACTACACCACTGCACTGTCCACTGTCCACTGTCCAGACTGATCAGCTAAGGACACAACATCACTGCACTGTCCACTGTCCAGAGAGCACCGGTCATCTGAGGACACAACACCACTGTCCATAGAGCACCGGTCAGCTGAGAACACTACACCACTGCACTGTCCAGTGTCCACAATGCCGCTCCAGCAGGTGAGTCTCCACCCGCCCCTGCCCTGTGATCTCGGGAGCCCCTACCTGGACCCCGACACGTCCATGTGGGCGTGAAGCACCAGGTCTGTCACACACACGTCGTCCTCCCCGCAGTCTTTGAAGAAGGGGATCTGGGGGGAAAGAGACCGTGACCCCACATTCCATGAAAAAGGCTGAGAGGATGAAATCATTCATTAATATGAAATCAAACTAAAACCTTTCTGCATGTTATACAAGCGGATGAAACTGCTGACAAAAATGTGACTAAAATGAATAGTGGAAAAGCAGCAGTGAGCAGTGAGTCCTCTTTCAGCTGGCTGAAATGTGATGACATGGCGAACTTGGCTAAGACCAGGACTTGGGGTACGGGGGCTGGGGGGGGGGTCGGGGGGGGCGAGGGCCCTCACAAGTCTCTTGGCGAAGGTGGGCCAGCCCTCGTCCAGCACGGGGCCGCTCTCTGTGTCGTTGATCCTGAAGCGCAGAGCGAAGCCGATGGGCCGGATGTAGTCGGCGGTGTCCTGGGGCGGAGGGAGAGAGGGACAGGTGAGGGACGGAGCTCCGCCTGCAGTCGGATCCACTCCAGGTTTTACTAGAAGCAGCGGGCACAGGTGTAGGAGCAGGGTTAGGTCATTTTCAATCACAGCTACCTGCGAGTAAAGGTGCCCATCCATTTTCTATCCACTTCAACCAAGTCAGGTGACGGGGGGGTGGTTAGTCCATCACAGCGCAGACATGCACAGACACACTCACACCAGGGCCAGTTTTCCCACAAACCAATTAACCCACCAGTATGTCTTTGGACTTTGAGAGGAAATCAGAGCATCCAGAGGACACCCATGCGAACTCGGGAAGAACATGCAAACTCCCCACAGATAGCAGCCCAGGAACTGAACCCAGCGCTGTGAGGCAGCTATGCTGGCCACCCTGCAGTTAAAATAACATGAAAATGACAACAGTAGAACAGCCAAGAGAGGGTAAAACCTGGAGTGGGTCAGACTGCTGTGCACTGGGAGTCTGACTGACAGCACTGTAAAACCTGGAGTGGATCAGACTGCTGTGCACTGGGAGTCTGACTGACAGCACTGTAAAACCTGGAGTGGATCAGACTGCTGTGCGCTGGGAGTCTGACTGACAGCACTGTAAAACCTGGAGTGGGTCAGACCGCTGTGCAACAGGAGTCTCATACCCTTCCTTGCACTCACAAAGACATGGAAGGGCAGCATGGAGCAGGTGACCTCATCGATCTGCGCCTGGAGCACTGTCTGGATCTGCCGCTGGGAGCTCTGGTCGAACAGGGCCCGGGTCATGAACTTCCTGTCGTCCAGCATGGCGCCCACATGCAGGTCTGGATCAACACAATTGGACATGATCGATAAATAGTAGTATTTATAAATTAGAGGAGGCCATTCGGCCCGTCTCGCTCGTGCTGTTTTTAGTTGCTAAGTGCTCCGAGGGACTCGCCAAGCCATCTCTTCAAAGGGTATTGAAGTCAGCAACATGGCTGGGTAGCTTGTTACACACTCCCACACTCCTTTGTGTAAAGGCGTCCAGTAACAGGATCTGTCAATCAAGGCAGTAGCTGGGTAAGGGCAGTGGCTCTGTGGGGCAGGAGGATGTCTCTGGGTGTCAGGGCAGTGTCTGTGGCTCTGTGGGGCAGGAGG